TAGTATTAAAATCACACCATAAAAATTTAGCGTTATCTCTAGACCGTGTGTCATTTTTTGTCTTTCAATCTTCTCCATCCATGATCCCTCTTAGTTTCTTTTTGCCTCTTTTTCTCAAACATCCAACTAGGCAGTAATATGTTGCAGCCTCCTTAAAAATGAAGTTAGTTTTCACGATTCAAAGGAACTGTCCAGAACATAATAACAATAACGTACATCCACTAACTGTCTTTGTTTTCAATGGTAGGTGACACCAGTGAGACTTCTGAACATGGCGATCAATGTGCAGTTTGTACTGAGGGGGGAGAGCTACTTTGCTGTGACACATGTCCACTTGCCTATCATATTAGTTGTGTTTATCCGCCCTTACGACGAATTCCGCGCGGAAACTGGGCTTGTCAAGTGTGCACGGGGGCGGACGATGAACGACCACGGAGCTGCCGCGTAAAGAAAGCCACTATTGAAGGTAAAACTCGGAGAATAGTTTTTTGTTTCAGGCAAAGTTATGTCCTCCTATTCAGATGAGTCGGTTTTCCGAGAGTCAGTGCGGTTTCCTTTTATCCCGTCCATTGCATATGGTATCAGATAACTAACCCCGGTAACTCTTTCACTCCCAAGATCTCATTAGTAATTCTCTTTACTATCTGTCATGCAATTCTTATGATGTTGGTTCGGAGAATTTGATATTGGATCAATTACAAATGCCCTATTTGATCTTTTTTTTTTATTCTTATCACTTGCCTGGTTGATACTGTATTGATATTTTAAGAAGAAATTCTGTCTTGGTCACTCATGGGAATTTATCGGTTAAGCATGAAACTGAGGTGGTGCTTATTTTCTCACCCCCAAAGCATTTCTTATCTTATCAGAGTTGTCGGTAGAGGAGTCAAGGCTACCGACTGATCAAACATTGTTGAAGGAGAAGGGAAAAATATAAAAATAAAAGAAAATAGGATAAATAGTTATCATTATGATGAGATAATGAAGTAAACGCGAAAGTCCAACATCCATTTTTCACACGAAAGTATCTCGTGGACTTTGGCGAGGAATAAAGAAGACATGGAACGAAGACGTTGATGTGAATTGTGTAGATTGATGCTTCGAGTTTTACGGTATAGCACCTTCTTAAGTGCCATTAAATGCTTATCTCTTTACTCTGCAACTTCCAGCTGCCCAAAGAAGTCTTCAGCAGAGCATCAAGGTCGGGAAAAGGAAAGCTACCCGCAGCAATTCCCGTCAGAGCAGCAGGCAAGCAAAGAACACCAACAGTCAGAGTCGGAAAAGACAACCATCGTCTTCTCCATCACCTCCACCGCATTTAAGAGTTGGCACCAAAACTGACAAGTCCACTAAGCGGCGGCGACTCTCTTCTTCGTCACCTTCAGCATCATCTCGTTCTCCGTCGCCTGCGTCGAAATCCAGTCAGAGACGCACTGTTAAGATAGCGTCGCGTGGCCGTGGTCGAAGTTCTCTCGATTCTTCTCGGTCCTCGTCTCCAATGCCTCGATCTGAGCCGAGTAAAAAGGCTTCTGGGAGGAAAGATCCTAGGCTAGGAACAAAGTTTGTTTTGTGCCAAAAGTTGCTAAACGAGATGATTAAACACGAGGACGCCTGGCCCTTCATTGAACCTGTGGATGTCGATGAGGTAAACCATTAACTGTGGCCAAAAAATTGATCTAGGATCTAATTTAGGATAAGCTTCGATCCCTAGGAAGTAGACCATTCTCCTTCACAAATCTTGTAACTAACAAATAACTTTGCGCTTTTAAGACAAGTTGAGCTACGTATCAACATTTTTTACTAAGGGGATAAGTTTTAAAAAAAAACCTGTGCTGCTGCGTGGGTGGGAGAGTATAACAGGGTAATTTTACTGTCGATACTTTCGTTATTTCTTCCTTAAAAACTCAACGCAAATAACTAGCTCGGAACTTAGCTCTACACTCCGAAGGAAAGTGTTGGTCACCAGCTTATGAAGGTGACGGTCACCAGGCTGTCAATCTTTGACCATCGTCATTATTTTTCACTTATTTAGCGAATTATGTTAAGTTACGTGAAACAGATCCCGCATGTTGACTCTTTCCAAAACGACTTTCTACCTAAAATTTCACAATATTGCGGTGAGGGTCGGGCAAACAAAAACAAGAATGGTAATACAAAAATTACAGAGAACCCATCGACGAAATAAGAATTACACTATTACACTTAAAAAGATATTTAAATAGAAAATAGCCTTTGAAGATAGTTACATAACAACAGAATAAACAGATAATTCGAAGAAGAAAGGGCGTACCCAAGTTACCGCCCCCAAGAGTACTACCTGCTGTTCATATAAGTTAACTGATTAGAGATTTAGTGAGGAGGGTGAAAAGTACAAGTTGTTTACACCTTTAGTCTCTATCAAGAAAGAGGTTTTGAAAGTGCCAAATTACAAACTTAGAGTCACTTACTATACTTTTAAAGAAAGACCGCCAAAGAAATAGGACTGAATTATCAACTAGTTTTTACTATTTTTTGCTGAAAAGTTTGTGCTTATGTGCTATGTGCATTCATTTTCCAACACTGAAATAAGTCTAAAAAAAAACACATAAACAGAAACTTCTTGCTTGATGCCAATTTTGCCTTTTAACATAAGTATTGTTAACTGAGTTGATAACGGAAATTGGCCACCGTATAGAGTTTTAAAACTGACGTTTCGAGTGTCAGCCATTCGTCATCGCTCTGACGAAGGGTTAACGCTCGAAACGTCAGCTTTGAAACTCTTTGCGGTGGCCAATTAACGATATCAACTCAGTTGACAATACTAAATTACCCCAACATTTTTTATTGTCTTCTTTGGGAACGAGGCCTGGTCAATGTAAATTCCCAGAAATTGTATTGAAACCCTGGTTGAAACCCTAGATAATAGTTTCCGGAGAGAGCAGTAATAAAAAGAACAAGCTGCAATAAGCCTGGAGGGAACAGGATTCGGTAACAAGTCGCAAACTCGGGAAAATTTAGCCAAATTCTTCAAGATTTACAAATGGGTACGAAAATTATTTTGGTAGACTATGCATTATAATTATATTAGGATAACTTCCGTCACTTCCTTTTATTTTTAATTTTTGTCCTAGAACCCTGATTATTTGGAGATCATAGAAAGGCCTATGGACTTAGGAACCATTAAGCAAAATTTAGCTGCCAAGGCATACGATTATGTGGAGGATTTCGCCGCCGACGTTCGCCAAGTGTTCATCAACTGTTCGGAATATTGTCGGCCACGAGGCAAAGAAGCCCGAGCTGGGATTCGGTTGTCGGCCTTTTTTGAGACGCAGTATTCCGACATGGGTCTAGATGCGACAGAGACTCGTACGACTCGAAGTAGACGAATATGAATCCGCAAAGAAGTGTGAAGATTTAACCAAGAACCTGAGAGAAAAACAAAACTGAAGAACGGTAGTCTTTCTCCTCTCCGTTTTCTATTTTATGGGGAATAAACTTAAATGAGAGGATAATGTCTTCTCTCTCGCGTAGTTAGTACTTCCTGGAACATTGCTTAAGACACGGAGACAAAGCAAACTTTAACTACTTGACAAAAAAAAATCTCGCCCACGATATTATGCTAGATCATTCGCTTTAAGTAGTCAAATCAGTGTATTTTGTACTTTGTTCAAGGCTCACTCGTCAGTCAAGCAATATCTCGCCGAATATCGCAAAAAAAATAACAGCGTTTATTACCGTGGAAAGCGAATCTGCTTTGCCTTGAATTAGTTTGAAGTAAAACTAAAAAAAAAAAAAAGAATAAGCATCAAATGTAATTATTTATTGCTTGTGGGGCGGCTGAAGTCGCTTCGATTCGCACTAAGTTGTAAGTGTTACACTTGAAAATAGAATTCAGGTATAGCGATATTACGAAAGACATTAAGTGCAATGAAGATTGTGGAGTACTTGTCCATTACAACTTTACTCCTCCAAAATTATTAAAGCGTAGGACCAGCATGTATATAGTCTCGACGAAATAAAGTGAGTAACTTTTTATCATAAATGTGAGAAGTTTGAAATAAGTTCAGTGAAGCAGAAAGATTTTTCACTTTTATGTAGCAGTCATTGCCGAATTTACAATGCTTTTTTCCGACGCGTAGATGGGGACTAGTACACCCCTTCCCCTTTCGTCCATCGACATTTTGGTGGGGACCCCCGAAAGGTGTAAGGATACAGAAAGGAAAATGAACCCCATTGTAGAGATATCAGTCTTTGGAAATTTAGAGACCAAGTTAACTGTTCGGGAGACCGGTATTTTTTTCTTTAAACCCAGGAGATCTTAGGAGGAGTACCGCAAAGAGTAAGGAAAGGCCCTCTCCGCCTGCCCTCAATTGCTACGATTCTTTCCCCATATTCCATCGGTAGCCGTGAGGCAATGCAAGAGGCGGCTGGTACCCTTTCCTATGTTTTGAAAAACGCGGAAACTATAAAACTCGTAGAGCTCTGTTAACCCTCTAACTCCTAGCAGTGAGGAGCATCAAATATCTCCTTACAATGTCACCCCTGAGTCACAAAGAGGTCACGAAAGTAAATGAAATGATTGCCTACTGAGGAGGCTCTTGATTGTTAAACAAATTCTCGTTGTCGGGTACCTCAGAAACTGTGTAGCGTACTTTATGGAGAATATGCATACTGATCTAAGGGTGTAAAGGGTAAAGTAGTCTAACGGGAACTCCTGAAGGGGACAGCCATCAGTCTCCATCGTGCAACGAGTCGTCATATTTATCATCGTGTTGTTGGCAGATACTTTAAATACCGATTTTGTAAATAATATGGCGGCTAAACGGAAAGGAAGGAAATTGATGCTTTAGCACTAACGATTGAGATTCATCACAAGCGATTGATTATTTTGGCACAAATGGCTCCCCCTAGCAAAGTTATTCATTGCTTGTTTACGGTGATGCGACTTCCTGGGACGACCGCAAGAAGGACGAACCGTAAAAGCACTGGATCATACTCCCATAAAGCACTTCGGTCGTACAAGAGGTGGCATTATAAAAATTTCCTTCGCTACTACTCAGTTCGAACCGCCAACTTGAGAATTGAAGTCGAGGAAATGGACAACAGATTAGACCCAAATGACGATAACAGATACAGAACAAGTGCCCCAGTCCAGGTGAGTCGGAGCTGCCATCCGAAATTTTTCTGGAATAGGACGAATAAGTTGAGAAATTAAGCTTAATTAACTAAATGTACGTAGACTGGACGTTTCAAGGGGAAAGTCTTGTTTATTATTAATCCGTGCTGATTCGTACCTGTGTCGGCGGCGGTTTTATTCCCATGGAGTAATTTCTTTGGTTGTTACCTGTGAATGAGCTTGAATTATTCTTCCCTTTTTTGTCACTATGCATATGACAAGGACTAAGGTCTTGTGATTGCTTTCGTTCCCACAAAATTGTCTCCCTATATAATGTAAATGACATTAGACAGTACATGTTTAAACTAAGTAGAGTTACTGTGAACCAGCAAATTGCCTGAAGAACAACTCTGGAATATTCAGTATTGACAAGCTTCTTGTCTTGTACGCTACGTTATGATACTCGGTCGTATGTTGGTAAACGATAAAACAAGCGATAAACATCCCCTTCTTAATGGTACCTTGCATGAAACGTTATGCATGCTCAAGTTTTTACGTGAATAGGTTAAAAGGGGGTCTGAAGCTTTAAACTGTCATTTCATTTGCATTCATTGCTAGTTAGCTTTAGAGGAGTAGGTTTGGTATTTATTTTACGCCACTTCTTGTTATTTGCGAAAAATTCGATTTGAAGTTGCCTTTTTGCGGCCGTGAAACAGTCGGCTAAAACGATTAGCACGTCGAGGCACAAATTAATGCAAATGAAAACACGTTAACATCGCAGAGGCTATTTGCCTTTACTATCAGTGTTTCATTTTGCTTTGATTTACATGACAAATCGTTAGCAACGTAGTTAAAAAAACCTGCTACACTTTTTTAGTTGATTTTTGTAATACTTTTTGTAAATGTACAGTTGTGCTAATAAAGCCAGTTGTGTTACTGTTGTAATTCATTTATCCCCTCACAGCACTTAACTTGCTATCAGCAACTCCTTGTATATTTCAAATTGCACTCAAAAGTGTGTGATTACTTGCTCAAAGGTAATTCCTTAGTATTTGATTGTGCATCCCTTCTGTGGACATTTACATGTATTAGGTGCACTTGTCTTAACAAAGTTGTGGTTTTTATTATGGCCGCAGGCCTAATTATAAGGGTGATGGTGATTTTATTTAAGAGAATTGAACACATTTGTAAACATTATACCAGAGTAATGAGCCGGGTGATCCTCCTTTCACTTAAATGGTATCATCTTGTTGACATGTTGTACAACAATTTAATTTAATCCTAACTTTCTATCACAGTCCCATGGAGGTCTCTTGTCAGCTGGGTCTTCAGGTTTACAGACGACGACATCTTTGCCTGGGGGCCTGAGTACCTATCCACCCACACCCAGTCCAATGCCACCACTAACACCTATGACTCCTATGACAGCAGAACAAGCTGGGATTGTACCTCAACTACAGTGAGTGTATAATTGGTTACTCTACTATTTAAATTCCTTGTACTATTCAGGCTTGTACTTGCTAAATGTTTATTCAGTGGAACAGCTAGAAAGAGATACACTTGTTAATGTCTCAAATGCATTATCAAATTATTTTGCCTTCTGAGCATAAAGAATATCTTAGTAACTTGTAATAATCATATGCACAGGTGTATATAATGATACTTGGGTTACATCTTTGTCCTCCATGGTTTTGCATGTTGTCTTTCTTGTGCAAAGTCTTACACACTATACATACACCTGTACAATTTCTTTTGTGCCAATAATGACAAGTTAAAAATTTGGATTCTGTTAGTAATGGTAATGATAATAATGATAATCACCAGCCAATCAGCAGGTGCAAAAACCTCTATTCACTTGTGTGGTATATACTAATAATAATTACAATGATGAGGATACTTGTGTAATTTTAAATTTACTGTATTTCTTCACTTATAAGCCAATCTTGGATATAAGCCAAGACCCTAAAAGTTAGAGACCTTCCAGCAGACTCGTGTTGTCCAAGAAAAAAGCAAAACCATCAGCTATAAGCCGAGAGTGATATTCTTGATTGTAAACAGCCATTTGAGTGAGCGAACCTAACGGAAAACATTGGGAAATGGTTCACTGAACACAAAAGCTAATGAATTACAATAAACACAAAAGAAAAAAATTAATCAGTGAAGATGTAAATACTACTATGCAACTGCAGAAACACAACACCCTCAGTTACTGTAACCTGACAAGCATTTCAACTGAGTATTTCTTTCGTCACTGTTATTTTTCTCATCATGCCAAAAGTACATCGCTCTTCGTGTATTATGGCTTTCAGTGACGGTAAATGTTATTGCGGAAGCTGAAGCTGTTGCAAACAACTCAGAAATCGCTTGAGATTATGGACTTAGCAAGTCCATGGTGCGACACTGGAGAAGAGACCAGTAGAACTAGTAGAGCAAGTGATGGAGTGGTTTTCACAGCAGTGAGACCAATAGAAATGAGAAGAGCTTTGCAGAGTTGAGTGAGATCATCTTTCAATGCATGGGAAGCAAAGAATCTGATTGGTGGTTAGAAATAGGTTGTTGTCACAACATTTTTAAAACATGTCACATAAAGAGCACTGCAGTCGCAGAATTTATGGTCATTTCACATTAACTTTAAATTTGCAATTGTACTTGTTTTTGATCCCAAACCCTTGGCTATGAGCAGAACCCCGTTTCTTGTGAAAAATCTCCCAGACTTTTGTGTCAAATACTGAAAAAATCACTCAGCTTATAGCTGAAGTAATACGGTAAAACTTAAGTTGATTAAAAAAATAAAATAAGACTACTATTTTTAAAAAAAACTGGTAAAAAAATCTTTCCAGCAATTTGTTTTGTGCCAATATTAACAAGTTGAAGGTATAAATTATATACAAAAACAATTATTATGATAATGATAACATCATTCTACAATAACAATGATAGTAATGATGATAATAATGATGAAAAGAATATGACTGTATACAGTAATAACCTTATAAAGGTGCACATCATTCTTAAATTATAAAGTGATGTACATCAAATTTAAATTAAAGATTTGTGTTAACTGGCTGATAACTAATTCTTAAGATCACGTATGAAGAAGTCAGATTCACTGTCAGTCTCAAATGTTCATTCCAAACTGTGGGTGCATTGGTGGAAGAGGATCTGTGGCCATACTTGGAGTGTGGACTAAGTGCTTATAGTAGTCGTACTTTTTTTAATTCTTACTAAAAATTTTTGTAAAGGAAATCTTTCAATAGTATATATAGTTGATCTCTAGCTGTCAATATTTTGTTTTGACAGAAATATTGTGTCCACTGTAAATCTTGGCTGTAAGTTAGACTTGAAGAAGATTGCTCTTCATGCAAGGAATGCAGAATACAATCCAAAGGTAAGTTGTACATGTAGCACTTTTATCAATAACATGTTTTAAGTTTATACAGAAGCTTTTGAACTATTTGTAACAGAAGTGTTTGTTTTCTAGAGCTCTGCACACTGAATTATTTTTGTCAATTTTCAGCGATTTGCAGCTGTAATCATGAGAATACGAGAGCCAAGGACAACTGCATTGATATTCAGTTCTGGAAAAATGGTTTGCACAGGAGCAAAAAGGTATTTGCAACTCAGAGAACATAATTTTTTAAAATTGAGATCATAAACTGACTGGTGTCTTATTCAATTGCAACAAGTTTTAGCTCTTATTATCATTGGTTGCTTTAAAATTTCAAATTCTTACCAATTCCATTGAAAACTGCCATTGGGTAAATGAAAGGATTTATGGAGACTTTGGTTTGGTTTTGGTTCATTTTAAACTTATCCATTTAAAACTCTCTGTAAACTTAATTTGACTCTTTCATATTATTCTTAAGATGATTGCACTTTTGAAGGCTGTTAAAAAGACTTCTGAAGTGTTATTTTATGTTTTCCTTAGTGAAGACCAATCAAGACTAGCTGCAAGGAAATATGCCAGAGTGGTACAGAAGCTTGGGTTTCCAGTGAGTAAAATGCTTGTTTGTATGCTGGCAATCTTAATAATTAAAAGAGATTTTAATCAAACTTTTTTCAGTCACCAATAAGATGAATATATCTTGCTTTCCTGTTTTATTATTTGAGAACTTTCATTGGTATTGGTACTCTGGATAGTGTTAAGGCAGCTTTTTCATTTCCTTTCAATAAATCTGGTTTCAACTTTAGGAACAGAAAGAGACTGCATGGCAGCCATCTTTTTGGAAAATTAATGTATAATACATATAGTATTATGATTACCTTAGCCAATCATAACACTGGTATCCTTAAAATCACTGGTTAATGAACAAATTAATTTGTGGAGGAAAATTTGAGAGCATTTCCTTTAAAAACTCCCCAAACAGTAAGGTATTTTGACTCCAAAGTGTTGAAGGCACTCGCAGCAAGTTGTTAAATTGATCCAAAACCTATTCCAGTAAACATGGAGCATCTGAACCATTTTAAACTGGATTGTGTATTTTTTCAGGGAGAATTGAGAAAGTGAAATAGAAAAACTTTAAGGACCACAAGTGATAAGTTTTTGTGGTTTGTGATTACATGTTGTGATCTTGTTCTTTTTTTAATTGGCTTTTAACACAACGAAAATGCCAAAAAACATTTGATTTAGTTGGTTTTTCTTCTGTTACAGTAAATAATTCTCAAGAAATGTGTTAATCGCTTTTTTATTGATTTTTAGCTATCTCCTTGGATAGACCTACATTTTTTTAATTATTCAATACCATCACTGTTGGCCAGACTGCTTGCAAAATTGATTTTTTTGTATGGGGTGTGTAGCTGTTAACTACGAGTTTCAAAATGCATCCTGTGTGTAAGCAAACAGAGATATGACCCTAAAATTTTAATGTCTTTTGTTTTAGGCAAAGTTTACAGAATTCAAAATTCAGAACATGGTTGGTAGCTGTGATGTGAGATTCCCTATTCGACTTGAAGGCTTGGTGTTAGCCCATGGACAGTTTTCCAGGTAACAAATTCAGAAAATTGATTAATAGTGATGCATATGAATATCTCTCTTCTCTTTTTGTGTTATATTTTCCAGTGTGGATGTACTGTTCCTTTATGGTCTGTAGGAAAAAAAATTTGTCCTGATATGATAGCCTCAACAAACTATTTAATTCTGGAATGTAGAATGTACCCATTTTTGAAAGTGTGGTTGATCTACCTTTTTCATGTATATTGATTATATTAGATAGGCCTTTATTAAACCATAATGGTAAAAGGAATAAGAATTAAGTTAGATTTAAGCTTTAAATTGCATAAGGATAGAATGCACTGCATGCATAAACTGTGGACACCATCATCCTCCACAAAAAAAAAGAATTGCAAACAGTAATGAAATGGCCAAATTCAAGCTCACTGGGAGGGTGGAGAATGGTGGCCAATTTCCATGTGTCTTAGAAAAGAGTTTAATTTGCTATGGATTAAATAAATGACAGATATGGGATTAATGGTGAGATTTTTAAGACAAACGAATTTTCTCCTTTGATTAGCATAATTCTTCACATTTTTTCACCCTTGTGTTCATCAAATACTCCATTACTCTCAATGTTTTATTTAAGACGTTTAGATAATGCTTATGAAATAAATTATTGTTTTGTGTATTGATTAATTTTGCAGTTATGAACCAGAGCTGTTTCCTGGTCTGATTTATCGAATGGTTAAGCCAAGAATTGTGTTATTAATTTTTGTGTCAGGGAAGGTGGTTTTGACAGGTAAGAAATCATATTTATGTTGATCAATGATCTTCAAGGGTGAGCTGCGATTTACCATGTACATTTACTATGCTACTAGTACAGTGCTACCACTAACTGAGCTACAAAGCCACTTGTTATGAGCAAGGTACATTTTTGAGAATCCTTCTTTCCCTTATAGGAATGTGATACAATTGGTAATGAGGATGTATTAACTTGTCTCTAAATGGTTCATTTACAAATTGTTATTTACAACAGATGTCCGATAGTAGCTCACTGTTACACTTGATACATTTGCAACTTACAGTGCTGGCTGCAACTTCCTTTTGGTAGCTATCCCCCACACCAAACCATTTAATTCAGAACTCTAGAAGCTTCAGGTTTCTAATCATACTGAGACTGACTGGCATTCATGTGTAGCTGTCATAGGATTGTTTGGGGCTCATTTTTTTCTTGGTAACTTAAAGTGAATTCAAAGCATGAAGTAGATGTTTTGGTACTCTCCCCTCCTCCCCCTTTGGATGTGATCCTTGTCCATCTCTAGTTACACCAGCATCTCCTCAGGTTTCCCTGACTGTTACCTGGTACCCATTTGTAGTCTGGAGTAGAGAAAATTGCCGTGAGAATTAACCCTTTGACATGTTTATTTGTCCTATAGGTGCCAAAGTGCGTTCAGAAATCTATGAAGCCTTCGAAAACATCTATCCTATCCTCAAGTCATTTAGAAAGACATAACATTACGATTAAGATGTCGCAAAGGATCATAGGACGAAAAGTATTCCTGGATGAATCACCACATCATGTATGCAAAGTCAAGAATTATAGAGAGACCTGGATGGAAAAATAGCCAAGTGAACTTTTCCAGCCAGGTGGCCGGAAAGGAACCCAATTTCTTCAGGCATTACTAAAGAAACATAATTTTGGAAAGGCTATGAGCAGCTTCTGTTATGATACAATTTTGCTTGTAATTTAGAGAATCGCATTTAGAGGGCTGTTTCAAACGTTCTCGGCAATTGCTTGAAAGTGAAGGGTCACCCACGCGGATAATGTTTAGGTGGTTATTATTCCCTGACTCTAAGGATTTATTTTTGAGTTGTTGTTGAGTTAGTTTTGAAAACAAACATAAATATTAAAGTAAAGTCTTGGTTGTTGAAGTGGTATGTTGCTCGCACCAATTAGATTCAGGCTTTAGGCTTTGCCGCCCGTACCCTTCCTCTGCACAAGCACAAAACAACCACTACCGTGATTGGAAGGCAAGCTTTTTTGTTGTGTATGCTGAGACGAGTGTCTTTTGTTTGGATGTCAGTTCTATCACAGTATCAGTGGGAACATTGTTCTTTTGGGGAAGGTCGACAAGATGGAGAGGTTATGGTTTTTTTCCTGTTTTTACTACCGTGTTGAATATCCGTTTCTTTGCTTGAGGAAGCTTCCCGCGATTACTTTGTGTTTGTGGTGCTGTCGTCATTTGTCATTTTTCACCATACTTTGACATAGGGATACTCCGAGGGAAAAAAACTCGGAGTGCTGCCAATACTGGAACCTTCGACATTCCGATTAGTACTACGGACACTACCACTGAACCATAGTAAATTCGTGGCAAGCTCGGCCGTTTACCTGGGTTCATGATGACAAAATGCCTGCATACTGCGATGGTAGGAATGTCGATACGTGATGCTCATGTGCAATGATGATGTAAATGGGGAAGGTAGAATTTGGGGCAAACCTTTCGGAGAGTTTCCAGCGAGACTCGAACTTACAACCTGACTAGTGCTTCGGCTGCTCTACCACCATTGGTGATTATTGCTAAGCTGGGCCATTTAGCCAGGTCCATGGTGACAATCTTCCAGCATATTGCGAGGATAGGAATGTTAATATGTAATGCTTATCCGCAATGATGTAAATGAAGATGGTAATTTTTAAGCGTGGTGATTCAGGTGAACCAGTGTGTTATTCAGTGAATGACACAGGCATACTCGGATAAAAAAAAACCTCCGAATGCTCTCACAACCTTCCGATTAAAACTTCGGACGCTCTACCACTGAGCTATGGAGGCTAGTGGTGAGTTAAGTGGTTTGACTAGGTCCGATAGTGACAAACTTAGCGTACTACAACCATTGGAATGTCAAAAAGATGTTATCAATGAACTTATTTAAGATGGTGTGAATGAAGATGGTAAATTTTAAGCTCGGTGATTCATGTAAAACGAAGGGAGATATCGAAATGCTCTTGAATTCTCCTTCAAACCATCACAACGAGAAACAGAGTGCTTCACTGTAAATTTTCGAAGTTTGGTGTGAAAATGGTATGTTTCAACAGCGTGATTGTACCATGATGGTACAACCACCGGCTTGAGTTGAAGAGTTTTTTTCTCTCCGCAATGGTTACAGTGCAACCTTGTTGTAGTTGTTGCAATTCTACTGATTCTGGGTGGAAACCTATGAAAATGGAAAAATACAATGTGGATCCGTATCGGATTTTCGATTCTTAACTAATTGGGCTCAAATTAATCAAGGATACAGGATTTGCAAATTGTCAACATGTACCTTGCTACCGTCCATCTTCATGACTTCCTCAGTGATAAAGAATGAAAATTGGTTTTGAGTCCAAGATCAACTTTACCAGTCGAGTAACGTTTTGATCTGTAGAATGAGTAATCAAAAAGACCATTTGGTTTTCAAGCAACGAAATTATTTTGTGGTAAAAAAAAACAAAAAAAACAAAAAAAACGTCTTAATCAAATGAATTACGAAGTCTAGCGATGACAAAAACAAAGTGGGACATAGTAGAATAGGGGAGGGGTTGAGAGTAAGGCTATCAGTAATGACATTGCGTGATCTACTATTCCAAAATGGTGCGATCTCACTACGTATGTGTCTTCTATTCTATCGCAGATTTTCCACGGGTTATTGATGTTCAAATAAGTCCTGTTGTCTTGAAGCGGCAAATATATGGCGGTCAATGTATTTTAAATAGAATGCAAATTCTGAGTAAATTTTGTGTATTTCTTGTCATATGCTCAATTTCAATAAAGTACTCCTAAACATTCTAATTACTTGCCTTCGTTTTGTGGTATTTTGCATGTCTTTCTATGATCTAAATGCAGAAACAGAAAATCATCACTGATGATCATTTTTAGGAAGAACGATAAAAATTCAACAGAGGTATCTGCCTAAAGACACTTTAACTTTGATTGTTAATCATTATCCAACCGGTACTAAAGTTAATAATAATAATTAAACAACAGTTGCGTCAGCTATCTACCATTTTCCCAGAACTCTCCTGTGAAGCCTTCTCCACAGAGACATTTAAAGGTACCATATTTGTGATTCGTCACACACATAGCTTGGTTTTGACATGGTGAGGAAGAACAAGGAGACTTTAAAAATAAATAAATGAATAACTAATAAATCGATATAAATGTGTAAAGTAAAGTTGTTAGTCACGAACTCATCAGCATAGTTGTGTTTCTATCAACATCAAAGGACGCATCTTTGAGCAACTTTCTGGGCATCATTCATTGAAGTGTATAGTATATGCTCAGACAGGACGGGGAAATCACGCTTGAGAGAAGCATTTCGAGAAAGGAGCCATGATCAAGACACTTAAGGATACCTACCGCAATGGAGAAGCGATGCGAACTCATATTTCCACCATATTGTGTGGCGTTTCTGTATTTATCAGTGGAAAGTACCTTGCACAAAAATTTTCCTTTAGCTCCTCTGAAGGTGGCCAAGTTCAAGGAAAAACACAAAGGACTGCTGAGACATTCAGAGGCGCAGTCCATGGCGTCATACACCGTGGATTTCCCAACTGGAGACACATTCAGATAGTGGAAGTCGTCTTTCATGAATACACTTTGTCAAACAGTTTGGGATATGGTGGGGATGTCCTCTCCAAGAATGTGCAATAAGACAACGCAACGATTATGTTAAACGCGGCTATGTTAAAGGTTATGGTTAGCTTATGAAACATTATTGCCTGAGAAATGAAAAGGGTCTAATTAGTATGCGTACTTAGCAGAGCTTTGATGACAATAAGTTTTCTTTATGTTGTTTCTACGAAGCCATTTCAAATGCTGACCGCTCTACAGCGATTTCCCATTATGATGTACATTTGGACACGAATCTTATAATTGAAATCTCAAACAATGGAAGGCCATACCTCTGTTAAAGATGATAAAAGGTTTTAATCGTGAATCAGTTGATTAATTTACGTTTAAAATCCAAAAGAAAAAATATTGTTTCAAAAAGAGATGCCGGCTCTTCATTCATCTGATACCAATTGAAATATTACAATGTTGATGCCAAAATGCTGCATGGATGTCTTCAGTTAGCAAACATCTTAATTCGAAAAATCATTTAGCATTAAAGCATTTTACAACCTCGGAGATTTTTAAGTTTTAATTTTTTTAGATTTACCTTGCTCCTATTTATTAGTAAAATATAGAGATAATTTTTCCAGTGTTCTTGATATATTCTTATAGTCTCTTACCTTTCAAACAAAAAAAAGTAAATTTCACCTCAATTGTACTTGCAACCAACACAGATAAAATTTATATTCATAAGGAGAAACATTATGCAAGGTACCGTTACTAATTTTATCAGTTGACGTCATTATTCTAAAGGTGGACACTTTGCATTCATTTTTGTTTCGTTTTTTCATCCTTTAGTCTAGCCAAATCTTAAAGAGCGGCGACACGAACAACGAGAGACAAACAATAACTTTGAGATGGGGGCTGCAAGATATTCACTTCAAACAGTGGGACACGCAAGTCACACCTTATTCTTGCAGCAGCTAGTTTTCCCCCACAAAACAGAGTAGGAAACTGCTTTACCCGACTAATGACGGAACTTTTCCTCCGCGTTGATCAATATGAATCGTAGGAGATAGTTTTGGAGGAATAATGTCTGACTGAGTTAGGCGATTGATCTTACTGCTTTAAAAAAACTTTGTCATATAATTTCCCTCTGAAATTAAATAAACAACTACATGAAGAAACGTGCACAACATCATTTATAACAGGAACTTCTCAGAAAGACTTCAAAAGCTTCAAGCCTTTGGAAGAGTCTATGTTGCATATCACAACAGTCACTGTAAGCAAAATGTGACAAATGAAAACGCAGTACATGACGCTCGCACCAGTGATGGATTACCGTGTAACTGCGTTCAACGAGCTTTTTAGCTTTGCTTGAACTCGCGAATAGGCAGAGCATTTGAGGGCACATTGCTCTTCGTCATTCCATTACTAGTAAAATATTTAATTCTAGCCGATAGAGGGTTAGTATTTTTAGCTGCTTGCGTTCAAGGCCCGTTAACTGACCAAACAGAACACGCCACTGATAAAAAAAAACTTGTCTTTGCCACAAAGAAATTATCCACTGATTCCTATACCTTAGCTTAAATATTATATATTTTTTCAAGCCTTTGGAGGAGTCTATGTTGCATATCACGACAATCACTGTAAGCAAAACGAGACAAATGAAAACGCAGTACATGACGCTCGGACCACTGATGGATTACAATGTAACTGCGTTCAACGAGCTTTTCAGCTTTGCTCGAATTCGCGAATAGGCTGAGCATTTGATGTCACATTGCTCTTTGTCATTCCATTACTAGTAAAATATCTTATTTTAGCCAATAGGAGGTTAGTATTTTTAGCTGCTTGTATTTAAGGTCCATTAAATGACCAAACAAAACACGCCACTGATAAGTAACTCGTCTTTGCCACAAAGAAATTATCTACTGATTCCTATACCTTAGCTTAAATATTATACATTTTTTAGCAATTGATCGATTTTTCAGCTTGTATGAAGTGAGTTCGTGAGTAACGATTATTGTCTTTCAGGATGGTGGCGAAGACTCAATTATGACAGCAGGTGTTTTTCCTTCTGGAAATTTGTGTTATTCTTGCTCATCATCGCCCAGAATGCTATTGTCTTTCGCGACATGTACTTGCAGTGCCCATTTAATCAGCGGGCAGCATAATAATTTGCATATCCTGAACTAGTCGGTTGTGATTGGTCAGCAGGTAAAGCTTTGGGAATACATGAGTCTCTTTGCAGATTTCAGCTGCTGTCAATCAAACGGTTGGATGCGTAAACTAAATCCCAAGTTGACATAAAGTGAACAATAGCAATAATTAACAATAGCCACGCTCTTAACAAAGCGTTTAGCAAATTCGTTTGCAGCGAATTCTTATATGGACTGACAGACTCCCGTTGGTCAAAATGTTATCGGAATTATAAAAATTAGTATCATGAAAATAGAAAATAGAAAAAAGAAAAATTAGAAAAAAAGTATCATGAAGAATCTACTTCGTTAAAATCGCTTCAATCGGTAGAGAAAAATATGAGCGATGCTTCCGACAACCGGCTTGTGAGTGCGACGATCGTCGAGATAGAACTAGAGTCTATCTTGCGACAATAATAGGAGTGTGGTTTCCATATGATGGTAACGATTGCTGAATATTTCTGCAGCGATCTCAGCGATCATATCTTAAAAGCTTTTACAGTTTTTTAAGCATTGTCTAGTTACCACCTCAATTTCAATACTAATTAGGCGGCGTGTGCGCGATTGTTTGCGGAGGCGGAGCTTAACATACCTTGATATTCTCGCGGGAAGTTTAAAATAGGTCACTTGTATTCTCGTGGGGGTCTCCAAAGGACAAATTTGGATAGAACACTACGATGCTTAGCAAACGTTTTCGAAATTCGCGTTTTGCGACTACTTCCAAAGTTTGGAATCCCTTGAAAATTTCTATGACGCTTTCTAGAATGTCAAATAAAAATAACCATATGGTAAAAGAGAAATCTAGCAATTGAGTGAAGATAAATTACGCCTGAAAGTGCGCTGAGATCGACTTCTCATACAAGCAGGATGCTAACATAGTCAATTTTCAAGGCAAATTTGCGACCTCTTCTGAAAGCGCAAGAACAAAGTGAGAATGATACACTATTCAATTGAACTTTCTTCTTTAAAAGCCATATGGTAAAAGTAGCATTTGAAAAGTAGTTTATCCGTAAACGAAGAGAACGTAAGCCTTCCTCGACATTTTCAGCCCTTTTCCTTTATTGTTTGACAATCATTTTCTAATTAGCTTTTAAATTTAGCGCCAGCGTCTCAATGAAAGTCCCGGATATGTCGCTGAATTCTGGGCGATGTAAACCTATGTATAAAAAGCGGCTTCCTGTTTACCAGCGATTTACATAATTCAGCTCACACTGTAATATGCGCACTCGTTAAATAAAGTTTATTATGATTATTTTTAGTATAGGTAATGACATGTTACGAGTGGTATCTGTTTACGGAATCACATTATTTCGAGTGCACTGATTAGTTCAGGTAATTACATGATTTCGAGTGCAATTTGGGATAAATAAGGACGAGATAAGTTTTCAAAGGCTAAACTCTTGCGACTTTACATATTTCGTGGAATCTAATGTTGCTCTGCGCAATGATCATCAAACACTCCTCAAGAAGTTCAAGGACGTTTAAACTAATAGATGTCTTCCAGGAAACATTGTAAGGGATATCGTTATCTTCACAGGAATCGCCCAGCAAGAGCTGCTTGTTCTTGATGATGAATGTGGAAAATGCTCCGTTTAATATCGACAACGAAGTCTCCAATTTTATCCGTACGAGAATTGCTGAGATTCCTTCCCGAGAGCTCTAAGTTTTTCCTTTTAAACATTAAGAACCCTTTGCACTAATGTCGTCCGCCATTTGTTCATTCTTTTCCTCTGATTGGTCGGTCTTACTCCCTTCACCCCGTCATGCTTTTTGGGCGGTTTCTCTGTTCCCATAGAGATCCGCCATGTTGAGTTTCTGCGAGTAAGGAAAGAGAACACAAACACATTGATATTTATTTCCTGAAACCTTATTAGAAATGGTACGTACTGTCTTGATAAAAAACTTCTGTTTTGAAAAGTAGTCTATAAAAGATTCGTCTCTGTTTTCTCTTAGTCGAAGGGAACAACAATCAAGGATGCCTTGGCAAAATGGGTAAGCTGTTGTATTAGTTAATTAGATATCAATAGTAATACACCCTAAACACCGATGGTGAACGTGAAATAGAAGGATTTGCAGAAGTGTTAGAGCTGTTTTCTTCGTACATACTTTGGGTATTTAGTTTTGAAAACAGCATAGTTTATTGTTGTGTTTAGTTGTTAGGGTTGGTATTAGTGACAAGATTGAAATCTGAATTTCACTTACAGTAAGTTTACTTTGCACTTGCAATTTACGTCTTTTATGGTACGTGTTAGTGCTTAGTACTTAGTACGTGCTGGAGAACGATTCCACTCACGACCATATACAGTCCTCTTAATACATAAAAATGAAAAGTTTTTATCACAGTTACAGGGATTTTTTTTTTAAGTACCGGTATTTCAAGTTCATAGTACAGCCAGTTAGTACCATGGTATTCTGGCTGGGTAGGAAGTTCTGTTTGTTGCCCAAGTATTTCCTAAAGAAAATTGAGTAAGCTTAAAGCAATGATAGTATCAGTTTAAATAACTTTTAAGTTATTATAGTCATTTCAAATCAAAAATATGTTTGGAAAGTAGATGTAGAGTCTCAATGGTAGTTTGGCATAAACTCAGTTACCCAAGCATTTAATTTTGTACTGCATTTGTGATAAACAGGAACAGAAACATGAGAAAAAAGCATCAGAATCAGATGAAGTCAAGCTATATGCACAGTATCCTCCAATAGAAAAGATGGATGCTTCCTTGTCTACTCTTACAAACTGTGTGTAAGTATGCTTGTATTCTAAAATTAGTTTTAAACTTCATATGGAAGATTTATTAAGTTTTATAAGAAAGTTTGGATGCAACGTGTGCTGTCATTGGTTGAAAGAGTGTGCTCTATCAGAGTGAAAAGCATAGAACTGAGCTAAAGCTGTCACGCAATCTTCCAAATTGTACTATGTCCAACCTTTTCTGGGACCTCTCTCTAGTTTTTTTTGTTTATTGAAAATGAAATTTTGGAACAAGTGATCCAGCAAGTAGCAACAGAAGAAGCAAACAAAGTTTTGTAAACATGCAAATGGCGGTAATTCACATTATTATGATGTGAGCAAAGACGGAAATCCTCAAAGAGAAAACAAAATAGACAGTTCAAGTTTTGAAGGTTTTCACACTCAGTTAGACTGGAAGCTTAGTACAGTAATTAAAATCAAACGCAGCTAACACTTGCATAGTATATATAGTTTTGTATTCAAAAACAATACAGATCAAAATAGGAATGATGAAAAATATATCCAAACTGGCACAACTCTTAAAATTCATACTGATGAATAACCAATCACATTATTTGAACCATTCTAACAAGGCTTCAGATTGGCTTATTGTAGTATGCTTTGTGAGAGTATGGAGCATGCTGATGACACTGTTGTTCACTTTGAAAAGAAAGTTTGTTTTGAAAATTGAAAGTGATGCATGGAGAATTTAAAGGATTCTTTACCATAAAACAAATAGAGAAGCCTTGACTGTGCTCTGTTCTGTTGTAAAGCATGCAGGAAGCAGCTAGAGCACTCAAGAAATGGAAAGAAACATTTGACTGCTTTAGAACAGAACAGAGAACATTCAAGGCTTCTCTATTTATTAAATTTATCAGACAAAGGAACTACCATAATTTCCAGCCATTTACCCGTGGGTAATCTGTTGATTTTGCATTAAACGCACGCCACTGCGGATAATAGGGAGATGCGGGTTATGTGACAATTTTAAAATCTACTGGTAGTTGAATTGAAAAAATTCTCACCTACATGTGTTTCCATCTCTCAAATGAATTTTACTGTAGTAAGAGTGCCACAAAGCAGCATGAAAACATGATGCAGACTCGAGTTAATTTCACGCAAAATTGGTTGTGCGACGAACAAATTGTTATCGGCACGCGTGAAAACAAAACCTTGATGGTGAAAAAAATAATCCAAAGATATCTGGCTCATAACAAATCTCCATTTAACACCAGCTTGAGCTGAAGAGAATTTTCCCGTTTTAAGGGACTTGTTAGGCCCAATAGAACTGGAGACATCTATTTTTTTCAGAAATCGCAGACAGTGCTTTATAATTCAAGTTTTAACACTCACCCAGGTTCTTTCAACAAATCAACATGGCATTGAACGATCGCTCACACAAAATGTGGCCACAAATTTGCATTCTGTCAAATATGAAACATTGAGATTTGCGCATGGGCCGTTAGTGTTTTTACTGTATAATTTCATCAATAAAGTACATGCTAATATTGACACAGAATTGTGCACTTGTCTGAATTTCTTTGACCTTTAAACTCGACAAAGAAGCTTTCAAGTTTTCGAAAGTTAGATCAGACAACTTTTAAAAGACTGAAATGTATCACTTTAATGTCAAGTTTTCGCCACCAAAAATTTTAATAACATAACGTGTGGGTTATCCACCAGTGCGGGTAATCTGTTGACTTTTTTTTCTCGTCGTATGCAATAATCGGCCGGTGTGGGCAATCGCCCATGCAGGTAAACGGCCGGAAATTATGGTAACATAGGATAACATTCAAACCTATGTTAAGCAGTCACCCACAAGGAATAGCAGAGTGACCACAGAATAGGGGTATTTTTGAAAACATAAAAAAAATAGCCAGTTTTTGCTATGTACAAAAACTCTCTTGGAAGATAAAAAATGGATTAAGTTTTACTTGAAAGATTAGTTTTATATGTGTGGTTTCACATTGAGTAACCATCCAGTACAGGTAGAGGACAGTTCAAAAAGGTGTTGGGACTCAGTAAAAGGTGGCCACAACACCTCAATAGAGGTGACTGCTTATTATAGACTGATGTGAAAATTACAGTTACAAAATTAAGGGGTAACAATATTGGGTCTTTGACAACAGACTGCTTAATAAATGGTGACCACTTAATACAGTGCTGCTCAATGCAGGTTTGACTGTGCTTGGGCAAAGGACGATTCACCTTAAATTACATGTACATGTACATTGCCTATTGTGTTGGTAATTTGAGACCATGCAGTATGCCCTTTGCTTGGTCCTAATTTGCTCAGCTTTTGGTGCTCTTTTACAGGTTTGATTTTCAGCGCAATCATTTCACTTAAAATAGCTATGTGTATTTAAGTGTTACACACAAATGTAGAAACATTTTATTCCATCATTAGCTGAAGGCTTTTAATTTAATTTTTAACTACTGGTTCACAATTACTTTAGTATATGTAAGCTGTCACTGTCATATGCAAATAATACATCAACTCCAATTCTAATCACAGTGAACATTTGATCACCTCGCAGGAAACTGTCCTTATCCACAAACTGCATTGAAAAAATTGCCAACCTTAATGGTTTACGTAAGTTTATAGGCAAATGTTTTGCTTTCCTATCCCATAATGTTCCTGTTGATCATTGTTTTAAATGTTAAATTGTTGTATTTTGATGCAGCTTTTATACATTTAAGTAATTACAGTTCTTTGATGTTGGCCATATATTGAGAAATGAAAGAGTTATTCTGCAGCAGAGTGTCTGATAGGACGCAGGAAAAATTTTGAAAACTATGTATGAAAAAAAATATCTTGTAACTTCCAAGAAAAGTTTCATGTTAAATACTATTTATCATATGTTCATGCTTGGTAATTGGAAATATCAAGGGATATGTTGGCCAAGCTCAGATCTAGCCCTCTAACCTTCTTTCATCTATTTGTGGTATTTGTTCACTTTGTTCTGTGGTCATACAAACTATACAATATTCTGAGGGAGCTTTCCAGACAATGTATTTTGAAAACCTTCAGAAATACAGTGAATACTCTGAACTTATTAATTCATGCATGAAAATGACTAGACACCAAATGAACTCAACTTATTTTGAATGTTAGGATTGCTGTAGTGTTGATATCAACATTGATTAATTAACTTTGAGAAACACTCAATTGTTTTAGTCTATTTTTTTCTCTCTATTCATCTATCTTACTAATTAAGATTAGGTAAATTTTAGACAAACTGACTCTAATAAGGAGCAAATTACCCTAACTTCTTCATGGAATGATCTGATCTTGGACTGCAGATACCCTTGATTATTTTTCTAGGTGGAATTTTTTCTGTCCTTTCCTCTGTGTGCAAAGCTTTGTCTTTAACATGTATGTGCTAAAAATGCACTTTTATGTCAAAAGACAGGCTGTTTGTCTGGTTTATAATTGAATGATTATACATGTTTTATGTAACATTGAGAAAAGTTAAGAGATTTACCAGCTCTGCTTTACAGTGCCAAAGCTGAATAACTTTTAGGTTTGTGTGGGTTTGTATAAAAGATATGGGAGGTTGCACCAAGGCATAGTAGCTGAATTTTTGTTGATGACTGCAAGCTAGATGTTTCCTCTAAAACTAATTATGGAATAATCAAATATCAGTTTACCTCATTTATTTCTTTATAGGGAATCTGAAAATTCTGTCACTGGGAAGAAATAACATAAAAAATCTTAATGGCTTGGTAAGTGAACTGAAGCAACACCCTTTTTAGATCATGTTGTTTCAAAGAGATGTGTTTGTTTTTTTAAGCCCCCATATTAACCCTTAAACATGAAGGCCAGAATTGACCAACAATTCTCCCTACTGGGCCGATTGAGGAGTACTTGTCATGTTTTTCCTCTATAAACTTTGTCAAGTATTTTATGATGTATGAGTTTCCTTGTCTTTATTTGTGTTTTTTCATCTGACTTTGCCTTTCTTACTCATCTAACCCATAAGCAGCTTAAGCTTACTTCCCACTTTGGCTGGTGTCTTTCTGGAAGAAATTTGTACATGTGCCAGATTCACTAAAATCCTAGCAAACTATATATCAGAAGAAAGCTTAAAAAATGCAGTTTACAATAAAAATATAATTTAAGCAACTTTTCCTTTAAGGAAGTGTCAGGAGCTGGTAAGACGTGAAATGACCAAAGATTCTTTATTGGATTTATTGGGTATCAGATGCTGCAGCATAAGCAAAATGGCTGCACAGTCATCAATCAACAAAAGTGTGTCAGGCTTTTTCGATGGTCTGATTGGTTGTGTAGATATCGCCATCTAAAGTTGGAGTAGCTAAAAATATGCAAGTCATGTTGCGCAAATGGACCCCACGGGACAAATATTTCAAATATCAAAATTTCCCGACATACTTTCATTTGTCCTAATTCCTAGGATATTTTGGCAAACTTTTACAAAAATCTTTCAAATCTATATACTCTGTTAATTCGCTCAAAGTAGTTGTATTCCTCCCAAAATCAAATGCAAGATTTTAGCTCATGAAGGTTCACCTCCTGAAACCTCAAACCAATAGGACAATGGGACCTCCTGGTGTCAATGATGATGGATCAAGATTTCTCAGGAAAAGTAATCCATTGCAGTTATGTTTTCTTTTTATCACGATGGCTTAGTGGAGTACTGAGGAGAATGGCACAATGATGACCATCATGTATGGCAAATTTTGGTTTGATGGCTACTTCTTTGTTCAAAATTTGGACGCCAGTGTAGAGCTCCGCTAGTACCAGTCACTTTCTCAAAGGAATCTTTTTCTTTTCCTGACAGATTGGTACTCTTTCTTTCTTTTTTGGGCCTGTTTTCCTTTCCTTTTTTTCTCATGGACTCTCTTCTGCTTTTGATTTTTCCATGAGCAAAGATTTTTCTATAAACAAAGAGCTTCCACATGTGAATTTTGTAAAGTGCACGATGTAAACAAAAGATGGAAATAGCATAAAAATAGAGCCCCAACATGAGTGGTTGCTGCAAAAATTTCCCTGGGGCATTTGCGTAGGTCCAAGATTATGACACCTTCCTGATTTATTAACTTTTATTTGAAAATACTTTTTTCTAAATAACAGATGCTTTTAAAGATTTCAGATATCTTTTTAAGGAAATATCAGGTTGAATGTTTGAATTCAGTTTTGTCAAATAAAAGAAAAATTGACTTTTTTCAGCCTCTAAAGGTGGGAATTAACTTTGAAACATTGAGCAAATTGAAAGAAACCATTTTACAATTGTTTTCTTGTGAATTTCCATGAGTTCCCAGGTGAAAGAGATGTACTCTTTGGGGTTTGAAATCTAAGCTAAAGTACATGTACAGTTGTACTCTAACTCAAACTCCAAGTTAGTGGGGAGTATGAGTTAACAAAGTTCAAGTTAGCCGAGTTCTACAACTGTAGTTATTTGTGGTTATTGTTTTCACAGGAAGCTGTAGCAGAGACTCTTGAAGAACTCTGGATATCCTACAATAACATTGAGAAGTTAAAGGGCATTGGTGTACTTAAAAAACTGAAGGTAATGATATCATTTTCACTAACTTACTTGTGTTTCTGCATGATTGACCAAGACTGAGGTCAAGATGGTATTTTCTTGGCTTGAGATGAATTAATGAGGGCCATAAATGTGGCTGAAATTCAGCCATCTTGATCTTAAACTTGGTTCATAACAGACTTGTCATTATTATGCTAAAATAAAGTAACTTCCTGGAAGAACTAAGTAGGGGAGTAAGGCTCAAATAGCCAATCAGAATGCAGGATTTGTTTCATCATGCTCTCTTGCTGTGGTATTTATATTTAGGTAATTAAGTTACACGTGCATGTATGCGTACCACAATGTTGAGATTGTTTTCTTTGTAGAGAGAGCATTTTACCATTTGAAACAGCAAATTATGCTAAGTAGATACTTTGCATATTTGCTAATTTGCTTTGATACGTAGTGTTTTCAGTTCATGCCATGACACTACAAAAAATGTTAAACATCTCAAAATAATTTCTCAGGGGTGTCTCTGACATGTAACTGAAAAGAAGACTTTTCCTTACAGAAATATCTTAATAGGTTTGATCTGCACATGGAAGAAACTTTGAAGAAAAATTTTATTTATTCAAAGAGAGAGTATTTTATCCTTTCAATCAGCAATTAATACCCAAAAGAGCTGCTTGATTTGCAAAGCAAGCAAGGTCAAAAATATGATAACCTGAGCTCTATTGGACAAAAGATGGAATGGTGGAAAGGGAAAATAGCCAAATGTTCTATAATGCAGAATGCCTTGTTGTATAATAAATAATTGATGATTAGCAAGCAGAATTAAGAGAAGCATAATTTAATTATCATTGAAGCCTGGAGCAGAGATCAACAGAGGAACAGTGAGGTTCTTGAACTAGCCCAATAAATTCCCATTACTACTACCACTGTTATCATTTTTATCATCATCATCATCATCATCATTATTATTATTACTATCATTATCATTATTATATGAATATATTTTACCATATAATTACATATGTTCAGGAATAATATTGGTTGAGTGTCAGTCACTATAATCTTGAATCATCTTTCTCTTGTGGAACGGGGCACTTAAAAATATGTGGGATGCAGCAACATTACCTTGCATTATTATACAACCTCTATTTCATTTCAATGTTATAAAGATTGTGCTTTATCAGTAGCCACATACAGTATCAGATTGCCTATTTTTGATATTTATGTGGAGCTTTATTTGTCTTTTTTCTATGGTCAAGGTTCTGTACATGTCAAACAACCAAGTTAAGACGTGGGATGAATTTCAGAAACTGGTAAGCTTTCAGAATTTTTACAGACATGTCAGTTTTTCCTTCCTCTCCCAAGATCTTATTAATAATTCTCCTTACAACAGCTGTTGCTTTTGACCAGCTGTTATGCAAACATCTATGAAAAAAAATTGTGAATGTTCTTCAGTAAGAGATATATAAAACAATGAAATTATTCTTTAACTTTACGTTCTACTAAACAGACTTGTTCATTTTACACAATTTCAGTTCTTTTTGTCTTATTTTATTTCATTTGTTGAATTGGAAGAGATTTTCCTCCATTCTGTGATTTGCTTGCTTTTACTTTCTGTTTTTTTATTATAAGTAAATAGCCTTGTGACTCTTTGGAAAGATCAGTCAGTAAATTTTCTCGTAATTTGTTATATAAACAATAGCCTCTATGTGGTGTAAGAAATGCCCATGCATATTTGTCTATGGATATTATCTGTTCCAAGATGCAAAAGTTTTCAAAGAGCAAAGCTAAAGAAAATTTAGCACAGATGACAACCGATGACAAATGTGCGATTATATTTTTCTGCAAAATAGAGGGTGTTGTGTTTATTATCCTTCAAATAGAAACATTGTTTACCAATAACTTACTGTTTGCTGCAGTGGGTGTTTTCTTGTGAGGGTTCTCTGGTGTAATTTTTTGAGCAAACAAGTACTTCCCCTCTTCTGTAACAACCATAAAAACTTCTCTTCTTCTGCAACAACCATGAAAAGCTTCTCATCGTAAATGAAATTATAAAAAAAGACTTACCATAGTCGACATAACATATGAAAGTTGTGGAATATCACTTGAGTGTATACTTGGATATGCCCCAGCTTTAGCTGGGGAATATTAGCACAAGCTAGTAAATGTTGATTGCAAGCAAAAATATTTGATGTCAAATAATGGCCGTTAGTCCTGTAACCAAAATAAAGCCATGTGATATTTACAATCATGTAATCTAGTGATAAGATATTCTCTTGATATACCCTGTAACATTTCAATTCTAAGGACTGTATCTGGTTTTGCAGCTACATGTAATTGCTTTTGTGATAATTAATTTCTGGATCTTTGAGTGAAAGGGATAATAGATTTCAAATGGCATGACACCTTTTCTTCTTTTTTTTAGGTTGATCTTCCACTGTTAGAAGATTTGTTGTTTGTTGGTAAGGGTTTATTCTTTGAATACTAGTTACTGTGTGCAAATTTTACCAATAACTTCCTACATGTAGATTTGTTCGTTCATCATAGGTAATCCTCTGGAAGAGAAACATTCCAATGATGGGGATTGGAGGGACCTTGCTACTAAGAGATTGTCAAAGCTGAAAAAGTTGGATGGTGAGAAGTTTTTTTCTTCATATTCGTCATCTGTGACACTATTTAGCAGTCATTAGTGGGCGTGGTTGAATAAACATGAATGAGTTGATGCTTTCACCCCAAGATCTCAATAATAATTCTCCTTACTGTCTTCCATACAATTCTTATTGCAATAGTTTAGAGAATTTGGTATTGGATCAACTAATATTCTCCTAATTGTAATGTTATTATAAGAATATATGTTGATTTTTAATTCGTGTATACGCGATAGCGTAGCAAAGAGTTGTTGTGGGCACTTTGAGATATGCAAATTGGCGTGGACCCTTCGTAATTGGTCGTAATTAGTAGGCTCCGAAGTCGAGATCAATCTTTCCGAAGAAGTTCGAAGTCCTGACGCCATTGTGATTGGATCGGTCGTTGCGATGTTTGTTGTCTTTAAACGGCTGTTTCGACATTTACTAAATTAAAATGGACTTCGAATGTTTCAGATTAGTGTTATGATCAACTTAGAGACCAAATTTGAAGGGTCTTCGAATCGTCCATGTGCTAAACATTACGAGGACCAGCGAGAATCACGAAGAGTTTGTGAGTGACAGAGTAAGCTGTTGACATGGAAATTCCCACGGAAACATGTACCCAAGACCAAAAAAAATTGTTAAAGTAGGGCATTATTTCTTTCGTATCAGGGTTTTTTTTGGGACGTTTCGGCAGGTACGCCAATTTCGGTCTTTTCGTTATGGTCGTTTCGTTTTGTTGTTTTGCTATGCAAACGTGACTTTTCTGGTGGTAAAAATGAAGTATGATCGGTTTCTACAAGTCGTCGCCGAGCACGTGACCATAATCTGGCCGGTGTTGTTTTGATCACTTGACGATCTTTTTCGCTCAAAACACACGACGATTTCTATTTCGAGGAATGCTTTTCCAATTAATCGCTATCGCATCCGTGTAAAAAATTACAAGCATATGCGTGTACTGAAAAACAAAAGGTAAATTCAAAACTACGAGAAATTGCAAGTAATCGGCCTCTTCTGCTACACGCGGGTTTTTTGGTGTTACATGTGTGTGTTTCCCATAAGTTACAAGCACTTTACGCGGCTGGGAATGCTGCAATCACTGTATTTGCAGTGCAAGGTAGAATGGTTATTGTCAACCTGGAGTGATTATGTGCGATATTTTGCTTCATCACTCTTTGCCATTTCTACTTCCTAAATATTAATTTAGAGAAGAGGGTGGTGGGTGAGGGTTAAAATTCCTAGAGATAGGCTATCAATGTGCCGCTGGATATGGTCGCATTTTCACGACTACATTGACTTTTATGGCGTTGTATTTTCAGCTATTTTCAATAGTTACTAGAATGGGGTTACACATTTTCTAGATTTTAGGCGTAAGAAAATTATGGCAAGTAAGGATTCATGAACAGGGAGATTCATGGTAAAAAAGTTGTTAACGCATTCCGGTCTTGCTCAAAAGCAGACGAAGATGGAGTCTATAATTGGCCTCAACATGGGCTAAAATACGGCAGAGGTTCTGAGAAGCTAGCTGCACATACCCAGCAAAAAATGACCCATGTACCCCCCGGGTACTCGGATTATTTATCATTTATCTGATTATCAAGTACTAAAATTTCTATACTTGCAATGGTTCTACTTTCTACCTTTTTTTTAACACCTTAGTTTACTGATAGCAACTTTACAAGTATATATCTCTCAAGTTGGCCACAGGCGCCCTTTGATTATGATTTTTTTCTTTATTCTCATCACTTTTCTACTAGATATTATATAGATATTGTAAGGAGAATTTATGTGTTTGTCATTCATGAAAGTTGAGGGGTTAATGAATAAAGATGAGTGAGTGAATATTGAGAGATGAAATAAGTCAGATGTACAAATTTAGTATATTATAAGTAAACCCCAGGAGGAAATGAAAGAATTATTTTTTGAAGATTAACGGACCTAGTGGATGATTGAATGAAAGTGGATGCGAGTGAGTAAATAAGTAAATGGCTTAAACCAAAGAGTGCTGAAATGAAGGAAGCCTATCACTGTATATTATAACTCATTTTTGTTGCTGTTTAGGAGTTCCTGTGGTCAGACAAGAAGAGGAAGAAGAAGAAGAACCAGCCTAAAAGTCGTGAATAATTTGCAACTGAACGCTGCGTGATAAACTCAGAGTTATTTGTAACTAAGTATATCATATGGTTATACACATGTAAATATGTTCAGCATGTTGTACAGAATACAGTACATGTATTTCTTTAATTCATTCATATTTTTAATTATTTTTTCTGCCGTTATAATATCTAAGTCATTAAGACCTCTGTTGAAACACTTCAAATATTTTGTGTTTTTAGTCAATATAATACATAGTTGCAATACCTATTGAATTTAACGAAAGCCCCCCTTTTTAAAACCATTGCATTATTTTCCCGTTGCATTTTTATGTCAAATCCTTGGGTTTTGAAAAGTGGAAACTAGCCATAAGTCTAAATCCGCCATCACCTGCGGTGGAAACCCATCAATGCTATCCTTGATACGTGCACATCAAGGGCGAGATTATCCAGCAAAAGACACGGAGCAAACAAATGAACTTGTAAGGAGAAAGCTAAACGAAACAACTCAAAATACAAAGAGAACTCTGGTTTTCCTACTCTTGAATTTGTTTTAATCTAGATGGAGGTGTCCAACGGCCCCATTCTAATCTCCTTGGGAAAGCATTAAAGACTCCTATATTTTTGGAGCTTTTCAAAAAGCTCGGTTTACTTTCAATCGACGAAAATCTCAATTTAATGTTTAACCCAGTAGTTATACTTTGTACGGAGGAGGAAAAGCTGAAATTGTGGAAAGCTATCCTTTGACACTCCCCATTGTTTTGTAATGTCACGTTCCCCTTCCTATGAAGGCAAAAAACTAACTTTTGCGATTTGCAGACTTAACTTTTAACATAGAAAACCCTATTACTTACACAGCTTAAAGCACTGCTTTTACATATCTAAAGCCTATTTCAGATTTCCCTTTTTCATAGGAAACGAAGAGGCTGTCTAATTTTGTGCCTTAAAGTGTTATAAGCTAGAGCCTCGTGGGCTTTCACTTATAATAGCAGCATGTCCGCTTATGCTGCGAATTACGAACTCGGTCAATGGCCGTGTGTGTGCACGTTCGCGCGAAAGAACTAAGAGGGAAGACTACAATCCGGCCAGCATCTAAATGAATGAGACGTGAGATGGGAAGGGAGGGGGGATTGTTCAAAGACTTCAAACTAGCCCTTGACCTTACCTCTTGAAGTCAAACTAGATTACGACCATGACAAGTAGAATTACCGTAATATAAAATAACGAAAGGAAAGGCAAAATACGTAATGACCAAATGGCAAGAAACTCTCGGTAGAAACGTAGAAACGTACAGTTCGGCGTGAGATCGTGGGGTTTGTTCGGCGACTCATGTTCTTAATAATAAGAGGAAAATGACATTAGAGAAGAAATAACATAGCTTTAAAAGGTTTTCTTCTTTTAATTATCACATGCAAATATTTTTTCACCTCCTGACTCTCAAAATAAATTACTCTACTAAAATGCAACGATTTAAGTTTTTTCTTATCTAATATCTTGTTTTCCAGGTGTTACCTGCCTCTTGGTAGGAATGTATCTTTTATTGTCGCGAGACTAGACTAAATGATGTCTGTCTCGCATGATTGAAAAAGAGATTCTTTGCGTATCTTTAGTTGTTGATTTCATTTGGAAGAATATGTCATCTATTAATCTCGCATTCCGTGAATGATAGTGGTTCAAATTTTTGGGGAGCTCAAAATTGAAGAGGGTCATGATCTAAGGTTTGATATTACGTAAGAATAGAATGTGATCATTTTCCTGTGAACAGGTGACTGTGATGAGGTTTAAATGGAAGGCCACCTAGGGCCGTGTCATGCACCGATGGAGAAGTTTGTTATTACATAATAGAATGTAATCATTTTCCTGTTCATTGCAATGAATGACTCGAAGATTAGACACGAAATGTCTTTTAAACTATCTTACGCTTCTTGAATTGTGTGAGGTTTAAAATATTTCACAGAGACTATAACTTAAAAACAGGTGAGAACTTTAAAATAATTTAGTGTCACTCAATTAACTCCATCTTCTTTCCGACAAAGGTCTCTAGATAAGTCGCACAGGCTTAAACTGTGTTGCAAGTTGTCACAGATATTAGCGGCTACCGAAACAACTGGGCTTATCTTGACTGGGCGAGAAATCTTATCAACAATCTCACTACTGCATTCGCAACGGTATTGCTTTGCCTATGGCAGCTACAAGGTGTTTAAAATAAACATGTACTGAGTCCTTCGTTACTTCTTTTGACCTCCTCTGTCGTTGGAGAGGGTAAAGTGCAATGAAATGTTTGGACCCTTGATGCTGTTTTTCGTGAAAAAGAAGGCACTTCCGAGCAAGAAACTAACTGCATTCAAATTCACCGACAAGATGCGATATGCTACAGATGGTTACATTCCTTCTCCTAAGACTGAGAAAAGTTCGATGTTACGTAACAATAGAATGTGTTTATTTTCTTGTTAATGTGATGAAAAGACCTCAAGTTTTAACTCGAAATGGCTTTTAAACTACCTTGTACCTGTGGAATTGCGTTCAGTATACACGATTTTACAGAAACTTCCTTTAATCTAGGAACAGGTGAGTGCTTTTAAATAATTTAGCGTCATTCAATTAGCTTCATCCTTTTTTTCCCACAAAGGTCACCAGAAGAAGGCGATGAAATTTGTACTGTGTTGCAAGTTATCACAAATATTAACAACGACCCAAACAACTTGGCTTATCTTGATTGGGAGAGAAATCTTATCAACGATGTTATTATTGCACTCATAACAGTATTGCTGTGCCTGAAGCTGGTGACAGGTAAGTGTCTAATTCGTTAAAGAAAAACATCTTCTGAGTCCATGGTCTCTCCTTGCTTAAAGGGTAAAGTGGAATGTAATTTTGGGACGCTTTATGTTGTTTTTCCTTACTAATGAATGCATTCCTAACTAAGAAGCTTTATTCAAATTCACTGACAAGGTGCAATCACGCAGCACAGAGTTATGAATTCCTTTTTTCTTTTATCGTATAAGCCTTTGAGTAACTCTATTGGATTTGGAAAAGTTTCAATCTGATTTGCCATCAGGCTGAGCATTCGCATGCTAAAATGTGCGAGCCAGGTGTAGCTTGAGAGTCTGCAGCTTGTAACGAAATTTTAGAAATTTTTACACATTTTCGCTTTTTTTTTCTTTTCAAGAGATCACTTTTCAAGTACAAGAAAAAAATTTAGTTTTATGTCTTGCCATTTTGGGACGCTTTGAAGCTAGATTGACTATGAATCATGTAAGCGTGGCTAAATCATAGCGATCAGCTCTTTACTTATTGTGAAACGAAACCAAAATTTCGCACAGAAAACGTTACCTGTTCGTTTCATTACAGAGATCGGCATGCTACGTGGACCTGAATTACTTCCACGAGATATTCCCAAGGACCAACCGTAAACGTTTTTCGGAGTGCATGAACCCCAAAAAATTGGTTCTGTTCGGCGTTCTTAAAATTGTAACAATTTGTCTTTTTCTTCGTTTTTTGCATGCACGACATGCAGCATTTTCATGCTCGACATTCTTACAACGTTCGTTCTAAGGGCTTGGGTGCTTTCACCTACCTAACTGATTTATAATTTTTTTTAGAAGAGCGTCGCGACTTTTTCGTTGAAGCCTTACTTTACCTCAGTCCATACAACCTCAGTGGCCAGAGTCATGCAATAACATTCTTGAAAAGTTCAATATTCAAAGGGCCAGGGTGCTGTCATGTTGATAGACGTCAATCGCGGTGTGTTTAGATAAAGACTCGTATTACCTCTTCTGATCCAACTCGTGTGGCCAGAGTCATGAAATAACATTCTCGGAAAGTTCAACGTTAAAAGGCCAGCGTGCTGCCTTGAGTTTCTATAATTTCCGCTCGAAATTTCTATCATGATATCGAGTTACTGGTATGTTATCCTTGATTTCAAGGAAAATGAGACCGCAAAGCAGAAAAAGAGAAGTAGACATCACCAAACACCAATTTTTGACGAACCTTAATTTGTCTTTGAAATGCAGCGGACGGTTTAGGTACAGTTATGTCACGTGATGAAATTTGTGGGTTACTCAACTCTTTCTTTGTACCTTTTCGCACTCAGTATAATACAGATAACACGACTTTGTTACGAACTGTTTTTAAATCGTTTTGTAATTAAACACGGTGCGTTCTTCTATCTGAATTACCACAGATTTATTGTCACTCAGTTTAAAAGTGATCAGGAATTTTACCATTCGGACCACTTGACGAGAGGGTATTATCCTGTGTTGGTCTAGTATACCTTCCTGTAAGAGTAGCCATAGTAGCCCTTCAAGCAACAAAAAGTGGTAAAAGCTCTGACAATGGGGGCCACGAGGCCCGAGTGAAGACTCTCTCAATCTCTATTAAAATGGGTACTTGCAAAACAAAATAGCTTTTCTATACAGATTTTAAAGATGAAGGTAGGAAGTAGTGAGCAAGTGATTTCTGTTTGTTTAGGAACCGCCAAGTCTCGTGTTTATACTCCTAAATTACCGTTTTTTCCTGATAACAGGAGGGGGCAGAGGCAGAGGTCACATTTTAGGACGAGCCCGCTTAGTTTCTCTCCTTCCTAGCATTATGGTGATCCCTAAAAGGATGGTTTGAGCGCGCATAAATTGTCTTGTCTTTGATTCTGTGACCAAGTGAACCGCTTGCCGATCGCATTAAATTTTACAGTTAACTCCTTCCCTGTTCTTCGTCCTGATTCGCTTGCTCCACTAAATTTGCTGCCTTTCCCGGTCCTATTTTCCCTTGGAAGGGAGAGGGGCTATTAAGGGAGGCATATGGATAATTTCTGAACTTAAATCCCTTTTGCTGAATTTTGTTCATTTTTCAAGAACATTGATGAGACATCATTGATGACAAAGGGACATTCTTAACATTTTAAAAAAATACAGTTCGGAGAGAATAATTCCCCACTGGTATTTGACCCTTTCCCAGATCACAAGATCCCATTAATCGGACTGAAAGGCAAGTAAAAGTAACACCAATGATTTAATATTTTGAATGACGATTCTATAAAAGTGTGAATTGAATGGGGGGGGGGGGGGGTGGTTTTTAAGGAAAACGTGGACCCTTTCTATCAATGAAAGTGACTGATCTTATATAACACACACTGAAACTTCCTTAAAGCTATCGCAATTCAGTCCGGCTTCCCTTATTCTCTTCTTTATATGTGCGATTTAGCAACGCCTCTAAGAAATTGCGAGACAAATGTATGGCTCTGATGACCGAAAAATCTGGAACTATGTTGCATATAACCTAAAAAAGTCCTCCGAGAGACAAAATTCCACAAAACGACACTTTCTTGCTTATAAAGTTCCAGACCTCTGAAAACTCGGAGAAACACGTTCGCGCAAATGCAAGCACTCGGTTTTGTAAAAATTACGAGATTCCAATACGGAGCTTAGATTATCACTGGTGCGTTATGTTATTCCTCACACAGAGTTAAAAGAAACATGCAATACACTTTGTGTGTACGGTTTGTTTTCTTTATTTTTGTTAGTTTCTCCACTACTCCTGTTTCTAAAACCAGAATTCCAATGGAGATCTATTTTCTCCATAATTTTCTCTTCCTCATATTCACAATTGATTGCAAACTTCAAGTTCAACGCTAAAACTTTTTAAAATACATAGAAAGCTTCGAAAAAAGTTATAAAATTGTTCATAAAATATTTTGACGAAACATTTGTCAAAATGTTCTATGTATTTCAATAACGTTCTAGCGTTGAACTTTCCAATGAAATGATTCCCCAGATCTCGTCTTAAACATATTCAGAAACATTTTTCAAAATATTGTATGTATTTTAATAAAATTCTTAAGTTGAACTTTCCAATCAAATGTTTCTCCAATTTTCTTCTTATACATATTCACAATTTATCTATGTAATTATTTTACACTATTCGACCCAAGGTCCAAACTTGCATTTTTATATGGAACCGCTCATTTACCACGCTTTTTTTATTGAGCTAGGTTGAATAAGATGGACAGGGACGTCTCCATTATAGAGCTACGTTATGCGAACCACGTTTAAATATCATCGCGTTTTTTCATAAAACAAATTTCACTTAATGACTGATACGTAAAGAATATCATTGCTTAGACTACACTGATAAAGCGGCCCATCTGAACAGTCAGAAGAGGCTTGATGTTCAGTATACCAGGTTGTCACCACGCCATAAAAACCGACACATTTTACATTGTTTTCCTATTAGTGCTATCTACGATTTTATTCTCCCTCAAGTTATTTCCTCTAGAGCCCACGTTCTTAAAATACATGAGTTTCTTCTTTCCAGCTAAGTCGTTACTCACTGTATGCCACGTAACCGTCGTATGAGTCAACAGTTGAAAATAGTCGGACAATCTTGGGTCGGGGCGATAAAGTTTTAATTTTAAAATCCGGGGACTGTAAGTAGTTTTTATTTATGCTGCGACGTGCACTCGTTGCTCGGGCGTGATCTATGCATGTCTCATCATCATTCTCAATTTGAATGTAAACCTTTTATAGCGCTGATGAGGAAAAGAAAAATTAGCAATTTTAATTACAATTCTTAACAGATTAAACACCTTAACATCTCCACATTTTCCCATAAAGCCCCACGGTACGTATATGGTTACGTGGAATGGATTCACTCAGAAACATCACAATTTTTTTGCACTCTAGGGAAACGTTTTTGGGCTTTACTTTGAATTCCTGTTCCTTTAACAAAACCTTCACAAGTGAGTGCGGTACCAGTGTATTGCTTTGCTGTTGTTGTTGCTGTTGCTGTTGTTTTGTTTTGTTTTTTCTTTTCGAAAAACGCATAGACACTTCATAAGACGTCAGGCACCGAATCGGTTATTTTGTGGAATCTTCGTTAGCGGTATAAACATGGATAGCCTTAAGTATAAGACCTGGATCCTCCCCTGATTTCACAGATTTTCATTTTCTCTCCCATTTCTCTTTCTCTTATCATTACTCACCTCCACAAACTTTCTCCTTTGTAATAGCCACGATCCTTTTCAAAGTCTTGAATGACCGGGCGGTTATGACATCCCAGCGAGAACTCGCAATGCTCAGGAGCTCGCTTCTTTTCCGCATGAAACCGACTCCTACCACAACAATATGAACACCCTTTTTCTTTAACTCGGTGGCTTCCTTAGCTGTCATTGTCGGATTTCTTGAAATACCATCTGTCATCACTACAAGGAACTTTGGAATATCTGCACGGGCGGTACCCCCATTTTCTTTTTCAAGAAAAAGTTGTTCTCTCGCCAATTTCAGGGCCCGGTTAGTGTAGGTTGATCCTTTGGACCATTCCATGGCGTCGATAGCTGCATTAAGGTCATTCATTGAATAGTGCTCTTCGAAGTTGAAAATTATCTTGGCTCGGGTGGAGAAGCGAATCAAACCCACGTGAACGTTAGTCTGGGACACTTTGAATCGCTGAAGCACTGCTTTGATGAATTCTTTGGAACTTCTGAAGCCACTTAACTTCACACTCTTAGATGCATCCACTATAAAAGCAATGTCAGCTCGCTGACTGCAAACTAAAACAAGAGAAAAATCCATAAAGATTGAGTCACCAAAATGAAGGTTATTCAAAAACTCTTAATAAATTAGGCCAATCAAGCGGTGACTATGATCCATCAAAAACATCCCGCTGCGCCTAGATTTTGCCTTACTGGAAGAAGAGATACTAAGTACCCTTGTCTCACCTCTGATCTTGCAAATAAAAGGCAGATGATGTAAACAGTATTCATCCCTCCATCTTCCCCAATATGGATCAGCAGTAATTACAGCACAATCTTCTTCCCTGCCCCTATGGCGCCCTGAGGGTTCCCTTGGAACCCAGCGTTGAATCGCGAAGGGCTTGCCATCAGTCCAATTGAACTGTCCTTCATTTTCTAGGTCCGAGGCTCCGATCCACCACTTGGAGTAACCATAGTAGTACCTAAGCATGCGCAGTTTCCTCTCGATGTATTTGTTCTCTTTTAAAGTACGAATACTGGCCAAGTGGCCCCCTTCTACCTCACGACAGTATATTTCGGCTTCTGGCCACGTAAGCATCTCGTACTGAATGAAAAAGAACTTGTATATGAAAGTCCCTTGATCGAATTCTGAAATCAAGAAAGATCACATTACATTGGGAGAGGTCGAAGATGATCTCAATTGTCAAATGATTGTGACCAATACTTTCCGGTGATGATTTGAAATATTACATTCAACGTGATTATATTAATATGTCTGTATTCGAGAATACTTTCTCTGAGGCAATTTGTATATTTACTACGCTAATTTGCTTTAAAAACTCACCATAACCAAATCTTTTATGCTCCAAGAGTCTCTTAGGGATACCTGCGTAGTAAACAGAAAGACGCAACCACATTAGCGTTGATTACAAAGTGGTTGGGGGGCATGTTACGCAAAGATATTTCCGAAACCATAATTTTCAGAAGATGAAAAGATCTATCAAAAAATCTATCAAAGGAGCCCACGGAGATTTTTCTGACCAAGAGGGGCGGGGGAATTGCACTCACCTTTATAGAACCCCCTATCAAATTTGACCTTAGAACTCACCTTCAATTTTGCAGATGTAACCTTTAGGCTTATAGCAGTCATCTTCCCTCCAATCTCCTAAATCACCAGTGGACTTCATTGCAATGCAGATTTCATATTCATTATAGGGTTCCGTGTTGGCTTCGCCGGGTGCCCAGAACGCTGCGTCATATCTTTATAGAATAAAGAGTGCAATGGAACACAGTAAAAATGATGAAATAACAGAAGGCGGATGTATTGCCTTTCGTTCATTTTGCCTCATTTAGCTAAGTTTTTGAGGATTGTCAATGACAATCACTTTTAATTCTCCATGTTTAACAACCTTCTTCCATCTGGAATATTTTCGGATTACTCCTGTGTTTTTCTATAATTTCGACCAGTTTTATGCATCCTACTTGAGGTTGAAAGTAGGTTTGTTTGTCACAAACTGAGAGGGCCCAAAAATATTACACTTTCCTTCAAAACTGTGCTTCGGATCATTTGAACAGTATGCTTGCCAACTTAGGTTTATTCTAAATGATGTTAATGCACAACAAAGCTTCATCCTGAATGTAATTTGTGTGAACATATGTCTTCCTCTCCACTTCCATACTAGGCGAAGATCAGTGGGTTCGATTTCCTTGGAATCCAGAACTTAAAAAATTGTAAATCGCCCATATTTCCGAAGTAGTTGTTGGGCGCAATTAATTTTTGAGTAAGCGTCGCACTTTTATGCAATGCTAAAATCCAGGATAATTTGACCAGCCTTTTTGAAAACGTCTGTAAAGAGGGAACTCTCAGAATTTAATTTATTGCACCCTACTTACTGGAAAGTTTTTCCATCTACCCATTTGTAAGCACGTCCATCTTCATCTATTCCACCAAGCCAAAGTTGTTCCGGCTCCCGGGGGGAACTGCTCAGTAGTTGAATCTTTTCATTTAAATATTGGTTTTCTGCCTCATTGGAAATGCTCGCCAAATGCCCGCCTTCGTACTCTCGACATATTTCTTCGGCTTCGTACCACGTTCGGCTGTCATCGCTGGGTAGCACAATCTTGTAGGTGTAGTCACCGTTTTCGAACACTATGGAATAAAAAAAGCTCGTCTCAACAATTATCTCTATATAATTATGCAAACGATTAACTATATATCCAGATATATTTTAAATTAAAACAGAATATTCCCATCTCTTGGCCTTTTTCCCACCAAGCATATAAACTGAAGTCATGTTTTTGTCTCTATTGAACATTAAGAATGATTGTTCATGTGGCCATTCTAGAATGAACGTATCGTCGAACTCTCTCCTCGAAAAATGGCTTTAAATATGAATTTCTTTCAATGGATTTCTAGTTCTTTCGGGTGGAGTGTTGTTAGATATTTATACAGCAACCTCTACACGATTTTCATTGTTATCACCGTCCTTATTTTCCTAGCCCATGTTGAATACAAATTGAATCAAGAAATGAAGGAATCTCTTTGTTTAAAGGGGGTAAGTTTCTAAAAAAAACCGTGGTGCTGCCGTGGTGGGTGAGTTTAAAAGCTGACATTTTGAGCGTTAGCCCTTCGTTTGAGAGAATGGCGAAGTGCTGACGCTCGAAACGAGGGGCTAACGCTCGAAACGTCAGCTTTTAAACCTTTCATGGTGGCCAATTGACATTATCAACACAGTTGATAATACTAAATTAATCTTTTTGTTTTATTTGTTTGTTTGTGTCTCTTTTTCGTGTCACAATGTCACATTGCCCATACTTTTAACTCATAGCGGCAGTCGCGAAACTCATCAGACGCGGGAGTTTACAAATCAATTCTTTATGAGCAAAATATGTATGTGTAGACGGTACTGCCCAGAAAAAGATCCATAAAACTAAAGGGAGGACTCAAAATCGTTCTTTCTTTCTTCTCTAATTTGTTTTGGACGTAGGTTTGATTCAATGTCTTGGACACATCGTGTAGTAACAGATGTTGCTTGTTCCAGACTGTACCCATTACTAAGCTCAGCTCAGCTGTTTAGCTCATGTTAGGAAGATCTGTACGGAGAAGAGGTTCACAAAACTATGCATGCCTTTTGACTGAGCAGAAACCATACAAATGATTTTAATATTGACAGTCATACTGATTTCGTTACGTTCACTTAAGGGGTATTGAGAATATATGTGTTTTTAGTTATCACAGTACCATGCCTCGTCTAGGCGGATAGATAAAATAATTTTGCTATAAATGCTAGCGGGGACTTTGATCCTTATTCAAGAGTTTCTAGAGGTGTTTCATAGGGGATATCTATTTTTAGCCAGAAGACTGGCTTTCTCATCTATTTTCTTTATATTGCTTTCTCTTTAATTGTATAGGTATTTGTTATGATACATGATTTGATTTATTGGTGCTCTAACTCCTGGTGGGAGCTTTTACCCTCTACGATCATTACCCTATTTTTAAAAATTGTCAGAGGCTTATGTTGAAAATGTTCCTGACCTTAACATGTTTCAAATTGTCAAGACGTTTTATTGCGTCAAGGTGTTGAAAAATTATACCCACAAAGAAATCTTTGTTATCGGCAGCTAGGAATGTAACAAATAACCAGTATGATTTAGCTAAACCAGTTACGTAAGGATTGCACACGAATTTAAGCGTGCCTCAAATAAAGTCCACACACTCTGGCTACAAAAGGCTACGAGAACCTAACAAACGGAGACCAGAGATCGTTAGTCTGTTTAACCTCCGTCTCATCACTATTCCGAAAAAGAAAAATAACATTTGGAAAGTCTTCCTACCCCGGAAGTAGCAAGATGTGCGAAAGGAATATTGCACATGCCTTCAACCGCCAAATATTTATCACAAGGACGAAATACTTTTCATTATAATGCGAAGAGTTTTTTGCTTTGGTCAGCAAAAACTGTTGCGTAACGGATTTTTAATTTCAGCATTTTTTAAACCATTAACATTTTTCGGCAGATTGATAAAAAATTAACTTATCTTGATCAAGGTATCCTACTCTTTAACCTTTTAAATGATTTTCCGGAAAAGCTTTGTTGCGCAACAAAGTTTAGAGAGAATTTTCCTAGGAGTCTCTTATTTAGGAAGCCGTCTTCTTCTCAGGATTTTTCAAAAGCCACTCGAGGTCCCAGTGAGTGTTTATTCTAATGGGCATGTACTAAAATACGAACGTGTGGGTCTCTGAGTATGATGATCTGTAATTTAACAGTTAATTGATGAAATAAGATGAAATTCAGCAAATATCTTGTAAGTGATGGAGTTTTTTCACATTTTCCATGCACACCTTGAGACAAACACAGCAGGATTCCTATTGTGGCAAAGATTTTCTATACTTCGAATTTTTCTTCTTTTCAGGATATCGCCTTTATTCGAAGAATTACGTGAAAAATCAAACAGTATATTCGTCGTTTCTTCTTAAATCAGACTGCCTTAAGATAGATAGATAAAAAAATCTTCAGCTCGGTCGTCGAAAAAAGCGAATGTGAATCATTCCCCAATTTGTGTCAACACTTGAATTAAAGTTCAAAACGTTCCCAGTCTCAAAACGTTCCCAGTCTCAAAACGTTTCGCAGTCTCATATAGATTAACAAAAACACAACGATCACTTTCCCAGAAATTTGAGAAAACCCCTCTTCTTTCAATTGCAAGACTGCACTTTGTTTTACTTTGAATCCTCCATCACTCGTTCACACAGTTTTCACTTTCCCTCTTCCTAAAAATTCCTGCCATGACTGGTCATCATTTGTGTTTCTTTATATTTTTCCTTCGCATTGTCCAAGTTGTCGCCGTGGGAACTTTGTAGTCTGAAGCGCAGAAAACGATATCAAATCCTACATCGAGGCGTGGAAATCCATCTTGAAATACTATGCTCATAGCTACACGCAAACGGTTTTAATTAATCTAACTTCTAAGAAATTATAAATATGGGCAACATGAACAACTGCATCCAGCTAACTATACGTGGTAATTTTGGGCTTGAGAGCCATAAAGAATTGAAAGTTAAGTCAAGACGCTGATAACTCAACTTACTTAAACGTCCTCCTGTTTAATTAGATTTTCAAATGTTATTCAGCGACTTAAAGCGTCCTTTTTTACCGGATAAACAAATGAATAAATAAGTCCTACTTACGAAATCCTTTGCTTCCAGCCGAGACTGATGAACACAAGCAAACCAAAAGGAGTGCAGGGGTAACCAAAATCAACGAGCTCATCCTCTTACTCAACCGACGGTCTGAAAAAGTAACTTTCTACTAACTCCGTGGCAAAGATTTAACTGAGCTCTATCGATCAATACCTGGCATTCAAATAGCTTTTTCACTGCCATCACCAGACGAAAGATGATCCTTTTTATGCCACGTGTCTATAAATTTGACAGGCACAGTTTTCGTCACCTTTATTGAGTTAATGTTAAGTGCCCACTTTGGAAGGTATTCTTAAGATGTTTACCGAAGCATGAAAATAAGAGATGACGTTATTTTTGGAACGCTCTTGAGCAAGTCCGCACTTTATTTATTACATGACAAGCGAGATCATATCTATACCGACCTCTCGGTGTCATCAGCAATTTGGTTCCTTTTAAAGCAAAGGCTGTTGTCAGGTTAAAGTTTATCTCGGGCTATTCAATCATAAACATTTGTTATACAATTTGATCTGTTTATCGTCATCGCATAACGTAAATCATATGCAGGGTTCGTTTGGGAACAACTATTTTTCGCGGGGTGAAATTCAAAATATCAAATTCGGTAATTTGCACCAGATAGACGTTCCACAACATCTGAGAAGGCAGGGTGGTTCGGATTGTCTTGTGCACGGGGTTATTTGATTTGAATTGACTTCTTCGAAATTTTGCGACGCTACGTCTGAAATGGCGGATGTCCCGTTGTGAGCCTTCCATTTGAGTAAAGGTTGTTTTCTGACTGTTTTCTGTTTAGTTTGACTAAATTGGGAGGGTGTGAAAATATTTAAGACCTCTTGTGTACGTCGGTATGTTCTGCTTGCAGTAGCTGCAGATCCGGCGGGCAAAGGTTATTTTGATACTTCAATCAAAAAGCCTTTATTGCTGAAGTTTATGGAAAGAAAGACCTAACAACCAAATGCTGAATGTTACCCTGGCCTCTAGTAGAGGATCGCTCTGTTATCATGGCTAGGGTAGTTATATCTCAACAAATTTGGAGTCACATCCTTTTTTACAGGACCATGGGGTTATGTGATAACAAACTAGGAAAAGGCACGATCTAAACACTTTCCACTTTTTATTATTAGAAAGGAGTTATCTTCACGATGTAAAAACGCTTTGTTTGATTGTCTTAGTTGGGCTGACGTCATTCTGGAAAACGAGACATTATACTCTGGGAAAAATGGTTATTATTAAGACCTTAGTTAATGGAAAGGAAGAAGTAATAAAAAAAAACCAGTTTAATTACAGGAACATAGACGACTCTGTCATCAATAAAAGGGAATCGAGTGCACTACACAGACCACCATGAAACGAGTGTCGGTGGTTCAATCCATAAAGAAGATACTTGAAGTCTATAGAGACGTACTTATTCCCGGTAATAGAAAAATCTTCAATCATCATACATTAACTTATTTCTAAATTCAATTAGTCAAAAAAGAGGGGAAATTTCTCGCTTCATCTAAAAGAACTCTGTTAGGAAGAGACGAGCTTTTCGAAAGAACAAAAAACAATTTTTCAGGGTTGGTATTTGCAAACTTTCTCTCAAAGAATCTACTGTACGTCTAGCACTAGCTGTTGTATCACTGCTGCACAGGGCTCACTAGAAGGTGTATTTGGGTGAGCCTCCTTAAACTTAAACAGGAACTGGACATATTCTTAGAGCTTAATAACAATGAGCTATTTAGGTTAGCTGTCTTGTAAATTTGTAGCCCTTTTGGTCCCCTACTTCTCTACTAGAACGTGAGAATAATATTTTGGTGGAAGAAAGAATACTGTATTCCGCATGCGTTTTATCTCCAACTCGTCACAAGTTCTACTGAGATTGGATTTTGAGCATCTGTGAATGCCTAAAGTTATCTTCTCTCCAAGAGCTGAAAATTTTCAAATCGGATAACAGTTCTTTGTTCCCTAATTAAACTGCCCCAGAGGTATTCGGCCAAATTATTTATGGTAACTCCTTGCTATCGACACTGCGGGAAAATGTTTCTGTGTGGGTTGTTTACTTCTTTTTGATTGTTAAATTTGGAAATCAGGGGGCGAAAACGGAAATAATCATATCAAGATCACGTTTTAATTTTACACTGCAAGGCCGGCAACAACACATTCTACAAAGAAAAAGCCGGAGGATGGCTCAGTATCAAGTTTCTTTCCCTCTTTTCTGCTGTGTTAATGAGAGAAAGATGTTTTCAAGGCATGCGACACTTTGACGTACGTGGGCCATTTTGGTAAGTAATAAACAAGTTAATAAAGGAAACTCCTACATCATGAACTGATTTTTAAAACTGCCGAGCCATTCCTGTAGGCGGCTGTTTACTCTTTAGACAAAGAGCGGTTGTAATCATTTTTAGACGTAAAAGCAATTGTTGTAATCATCTTCAGACGTAAACACGATCAATTCGCAAAGACGATTGTCAGAACAATTTACTGAAACTAGAAAACTCAAAACTCCATCAAAACAAAAGATACAAAACAAAACGAGGTGAACAAGGTCCTGATATTTTTTAAAAACAAACGGGATGTAAGGGTGGAACGGAAATGATAACTCGCGAGAAAAAAAAATAAATTCACATGAAACTGGAATGGAACACAAAAACCGATTGTAATTTAGCCATGATTTGTCGATCCCGTCCCAAATTCTTGCAGTTTATAGTAAAATCTCAGATCTAAAAGAAGCTTTCAATTACGAATTTCAAAACACTTTTTGACATATTCATATGGAATAATTTTAGTCAAAGGGAATAGTCTTCTTTCAAGTACTTCAGTCATTATCTAGGAATATGATTTCTTTGGTCGTAGGTTTTTTTCCCCCCCTTGCCTTTAACTGTAGAAGCTGGCCATGGTAATTTCATTACTGAAAAAGAAAGCAACTCTCTTTTTAATTGAGAGTTAGTATGAATAGATAGTTGCAGAGAACTTTTTTCTGAAGCATATTTCGGCTGAAATTCAAAGGTATGTGATTCTGCCACGAAATAGTATGTCATTTTTGGAAAAGTAATGGACATATTTTGTAATTATGGAGCGGGGTTCCTTAGCATAAGAGCAAACGTAAACCATAATTTGATTGATTGATTAAAAAGTTGAATCAATCAACCGGCGTGTATGAGTTAAGCGCTGGGCTAACATGCATTATAACATGAAACAAACTGAACGCACCGGGCAACTTGCTACTCTTAACTCCCTCAAAGTTTGGCTTCTTATCTCCTTTTTTACAACATAATAACTGCTTAAAACAGGCGATGATGCTTTTATGATTACAGGTGTGTTTACAAAAAAGCTAAGCTAAAAACGTCGAAGACCTTAATTTTTCTCCTTGCTCTTTCAGTTAATTTCACCGAGTCCATGCCCTTTCATGAGGGTGGCAAAGGGTTTTTGCGTGACGCGTGATGGCCCCAAAATTTGCAGAGTGACGCGTGATTGATGTTAAATTATCCGCGTGACGCAGGACCGCACACGACAACGTGATGCATGATTTTCTATTTTATAAGCCCGTGACGCGTGATTTATGAGACTTACTAATTAGATTTCCGTGATAATGAAAGCTCTTTGATCTAAGAGGAAACCAATCATTCAAAGTAAGTAGAGTCTTACAAAGATCAGTAAGCCGTGGCAGTCGTGACACTATTTCTGGTCTTTTACGTCCTTTGCTGACCTTCGCTTGACCTTTGATGTCTTTGACCTTCGTCCAAATAATCGTTACACAATAAGCATAAGTTAGTAAAGTCAACATTTGCACAAGGACTATGACCTTCAGTGCTATTTTTGTCGACTGCCTGGTCGTGGTGGTGCGCCAGATCGTATCCAGAAAAACCAGAAAGTATCCGAATCCATCGAATGAAAGATCTGAAAGAATGTCGACCCAAACGACTGAAACGGTAAAAGACGTTAGAGTTTTGGTATCATTTTATGCCAACCGAGAGGATTGCAATGTAAGCAATAAGTACACGAGGAAAACATTTTTGACCTAGACGAAATCAAAAGCCACGTTATATCTTTTACTGACATAAAAACAGTTGCCGCACAGAAGGAAATTGGGCAAAGCATTGACATAAATATTGCCTAAGTATCAAAAGAGAAAAGTTAAGGTGGCGCAGACGTCTACTCACTCTTGGAGCCACTAGTGGCCGCAAGTTGAAAGATAGCCAAATCAGTAAAGTTCATACTAGTTTTCGTGAGATAGCTGATGGGTCATATATGGGTTCAAACTACAAAAACATTGTCAAAACTATGATTTCTGACTTATTAAACAACAAACTATGACGACTATGATGCCCAGACGAACACCTCAGATGTTGAATTGAAAAATAAAAAATCTTCGTGAACAGAACGTCGAAGGTGAGGCAAACAACAAGCTATTGGATGAAGAGGATACTCAACGAAGCAACTTGAACAGTAAATATCTAAGCTTAACTCTTGTGTTAAATGTCCTGATTCTTTGATTTGTTTTTATTGTGCTCCATACTTGTAAAGTACGATGTGATATTGCGATACGAAGCCCGAGTAAACGCTCTCGGAGCGTCAAGTTCCAACAACTAAGTCGTCTTTTTTTGTCTAACAAAAAGCAACATGACAAATAAAACGCTATTTATTCCAGGATAAAATATGTTGGATTCAATGCAATTTTCAATAATACATCCGATACTTACTCCTTTTACGTGATTGGTTAAAAAATTATCCGTGATGCGTGATTTAATAGAAAAATTCCGCGTGATGTGTGATTGGAACCCCCCCTTCGCCGCCCTCTTTCATATGTCATCCAGTGACATCTGCTTTTGTGCGTGAAGCTATTTTGGTCATTGAGAGCCGAAAACGAGTTTATTGTGAATCCGTTTCAACAGGTGAAAATTACTCTTCTTGTGCTAAACTTGAATTTGTGAAGGACTATTCATTTATTAAGATTTAACAGCGAAAAAGGGGTTTGTATTTTGGCGTTACGGTGGTAGTGGAAACAGTGTCTCAAGGCAACAGAAAACCAATCGCTGATCTTCGATCTACTTGGGCATCGATGTCATAATCTTTATTTTGTTTTATTATATTTTTTGGTGATCAAAACCGTGAGACAGGAATGTCGGATCTGTTTAGCTATCAATTTGATTGTGATTATTTTAGTGTTGGAAGTTTC